TAATTCAAGACCCTTTATAAATAGTTGCTTTCAGCCTCGTTCAAACACCCGAGCGATCTTCTGTATACAACTCTCTCTCTCTAAAATCTCTCCAAGAAAGCATTCAAAAATTTCTTTAAATTTTAATTTTGTAATCTTTAAAAAATCTTATTTCTATAAAACTTTGTATTTTACTTTAAATCAATAAAAATCACAAGTTTTTATTAAATATCACTCTTAGTATTTTTAAATTAAGCTCTTACATTTTTATATAAGAATAAAATAATAAAAAGAAGAAAATTAAAACTATATGGTATCAGGCGAAAACGATCTTACATAAATTTATAAACATCTTTAATAAATCAATGCAATTAGTTGCATAGTTTTCTTAAAACGTTTTCAAAACAAAGAATTTTGTTGACCCAAATCTAAATTTAAACCTTCTTAGAAAGATTCTTATCATTCTACGGAACCATTGATACCGAAGGTGTTCTAGGCTGCAAGTCCTGAGGAAGGCAGTAAGTCCGTTGGCAAGCCGCGGTATAGAAAGCTTTTACTAGGAAGGCAGTGACGACGTATAACCAGTAAGTATCCTTCTACTATGAGTTCAAATTTAGATTANGTCATGGCTTTTTCGTTTAGAAAGCTTTTTAAGCCGAAAAATGCATCAGCATCTACATCACAAACAACAATTAATTCAAGAGAAATTATGTCAAAAATAAAATCTTTTAATCAGTAGATAACAAAAGATCATTTACCACATATTAATCCAAAAAGCATATATCAAATTAGAATTTTTGATTTTAAAACCGCTTACTCAATAAAGAACATGAACAAACTTCACCTCTTCAAGATGAATTTGAAGAAATAAAATTATTATTCTCAAAGCAATTAAACATTTTATTTTTGACATAATTTCTCTTGAATTAATTGTTGTTTGTGATGTAGATGCTGATGCATTTTTCGGCTTAAAAAGCTTTCTAAACGAAAAAGCCATGACNTAATCTAAATTTGAACTCATAGTAGAAGGATACTTACTGGTTATACGTCGTCACTGCCTTCCTAGTAAAATCTTTCTATACCGCGGCTTGCCAACGGACTTACTGCCTTCCTCAGGACTTGCAACCTGGAACACCTTCGGTATCAGTGGTTCTGCAGAATGATAAGGATCTTTCTAAGAAGGTTTAAATTTAGATTTGGGTCAACGAAATTCTTTGTTTTAAAAACGTTTTAAGAAAACTATGCAACTAATTGCATTGATTTATTAAAGATGTTTATAAATTTTTGTAAGATCGTTTTCGCCTGATACCATATAGTTATAATTTTCTTCTTTTTATAATTTTATTTTTATATAAAAATGTAAGAGCTTAATTTAAAAATATTAAGAGTGATATTTGATAAAAAAAAACTTGTGATTTTTATTGATTTAAAGTAAAATACAAAGTTTTATAGAAATAAAATTTTTTAAAGATTACAAAATTAAAATTTAAAGCAATTTTTGAATGCTTTTTAGAGAGATTTTAGAGAGAGAGTTGTATGTAGAAGATTGCTTGTGTGTTTGAACGAGGCTGAAAGCAGCTATTTATAGAGGGTCTTGAATTATTTACATTTGCGTTTGCCTTTTGATACTTGATTTCGATTGGATGATGTTTTGTCAGATTGACAACGCTGAGTCAGGGTTATCCACCCTTTTGTTGTGTAGTGTCTTCTTTTGTTTTGTTGTCAAGTCTTGTGTCGTTTTCTTTTGTGTTGCATTTCAGTAATGTATTGAGTAGATGTTTCCTTTTTGTTGTGCAGATCTGATTGGTGTCGACATTGTAGATGGGTCTTCAAGTGGGCCCGCCTATCTCTCCGTATGTCTTGATCTTTTAGAAAGTCTTGATATTTTATGAGAGTACATTTTGTACATATATACTCTGTATGTTATTTTGTATAAAACCTGTGAAGTGCTTCGACCAAACAAAATAAAGAAAACTCGTGAAGTGTCAAGGTGATATGGCAAGAACGTTGTCAAGATGATGTGGCGCAAAAAGAGAAGCTTACGTGTCAATCCCTTGGGAGAGACACTCAACTTCTATATATAGGATATTGGACGACGCATACTATAATCATTATATAAGATACAAAAAAACAATATGATCTTATTGTTTTTCTTACATATATTCGAATGCATTCGCAACTTTCTTTGATAAAACTATGGTATTGATTGAGATTAAAAAGCACAAGATTTTGACTTACGCTAAGCGTGGGATTAAATGATTAAATATATTTTCCAGTCAATTTTAATATTTAAACGTGTATGATAGAACATATGATTTCTAATATTTATAAACGTAAAAAATGATATGCATTTTGCATAAATGTAATAAAATTAAATTTTGATCAAACATATTTTGATGCCTTTAGTTTTAATATTTTTATGTGCAAAATTGATTAAATAATTTGCAAATGTTATTTATTTAAATAGATTTTAAATGTAAAATTGATTTTTTATTATTCACATAAATTATAGAGTATGAGATAAATCAGATAAATTTTAAATTTAAATGAATTTTTTGCACATACCAAATGAATAACAATATATGTTTTCAATAATGAAATGTGTAAATATTTGTAAATGTAGTTATATATATAATTGATTATCATAATTAAAATATTTTTATATATTATATTAATCTAAATACATATATACACAATAAATAATATTGTTAAAAATATAATTAAAAGCTTCTTAATATATTTAAAAATGATATAGAAAGTCTAAATATTACATTTAGTTGAGCTTAAATTTGTGAAACGTTTATTAATAGGCTTATATTTTTAAAACTAATAAGAATATGTAGAAATTTCCATCATAACATATAGTTATAATAATTAAAATATTTTCATTAGTTAATTTAAAAACATGATCTTTAAAATCCTCACTGAATGACACATAATATTTTTTTATCTTAGTGTATATAAAGGATAACA